TAATTTTAATGCTACAGAAACGATAACAAGTTTCAAACAAATAACTTAAACGTCTAACATTATTAGACTAGAAAAAATGAAATAAAATTGCAATTTATTGCTTATTACCTATGCGATTAAATAGTACCTATATTGTGTTTCAAGTGCGGGAAATGAGTTTCTCCTAGTGGCGCTCGACGTGTGTGCCACTATTCAAAAATGTTTAACAAGCGTCATGCAAAGAACTTAAAATATAAATAAAAGATATAAACAAAAGTTTATGTTTTGTAAGTGCCATGGTATAGGTTTCAGTGTGTAAATGCGCAGGGCATACGGCCAGCACTTTTGGGGATTTCCACTTTAGCGTGAGCTGGACGGATAAAGATAGCTTTCCAACACTTCAACCATCATCAAAACTTTCGGTGCAGGCTTGATAAAAATATAATTTTAAAAATTAGCAAAAATGCTTGGCATATCCTCTGCACAACCATACTCTGAAATCTATACCACGGTCCTCGTATTACATAAACTTTTGGTTACATCTTAGATCCCTCCATTACTTTTGCAGAGGTCGATGAACGTAGAATAAAAAGTAGTATGTGTGGCGCTCGTGTAGGCAAGCAATGGCAAAGAATAATTTTAGTAAAAAAAAAGTGTGGAGGAAAAGGTAGTAACACTTTATTTTGGAGAAAAACAGTACTTTATGTTTTGGGAAAAATAGATCCGCCTCTAGAGGCCACTAGTATAAATACGTGAGAAAATTTGTACAAAAATCATCTATAATTTTGACTTTGTTAGGCAATTAGGTAGTATGAGTCCGACACTAGTTTCACTATAAGAAAGAAAGACACAATAAATAGAGTATATTAAACTGGGAATATGCAGAGAAAAAACTTATGTCAGGCTCAGTGTGTACTCTCTCTGGAAAAAGTATACACAATATTTGAAAAGTGAATATCATGATGATACTAAAATATTAACAAAGATAATTTTTAAGAATATTAACGTTCAACAAATAAATAATAAATCTCAACTTTGATAAAATACCACCATATGATAAAAATACAAATAATAAATATAAAAGGACAACTCGCAAAATGTAAACTATCTTTAAAAGGGTATGTATACAAACTCCATTAACCACAAATATCAAGACTTAACGCCGTCCAATGTCATTTTAAAACACAAATTTAATATAAGTACAGTATACAGTGTATATGTATCAACAAAGTAATTAAAGCACAGTCTTGTCTGTAAAAATGAAATATGTGGAAACTATGGATACAACTGTTGTATAGTTTTTTGAGCTGTAATTAAGAAGAAACACGAACGTAATACTCATTCAGTATGCGCATAACACATACATCTTGTGTTCAGGGTTGACAACTTAAATCACACATACAATTTATTGTATACCGCTTGTTCGGAAACACGAATAAAAATTGTTCTCAGGCTTTCACCACCAAAGACACACATACATATTGAACCAGTGTATAAGCAGCCTAAGATGTGGCGCCAACGTATGTTACCCACGATTACAAACAATTGTTAAACTAATAACACAATATCTTACATTAAAGTACAATAATTGTTAAATGGGTTTTGCGTATTAACCCTGAAAACAAATTCTGTTTACCTTATATATATTATATACCTACGTGTTCCATTATTTTTTGGGTACAACAACTTTTTTCACATATCATTCTTATGGAGAATACTTTTTAAACAGGCTCAAAGATAAAAAGTAAATAGCAAAACCAAAAAAAGTTCGATAGTAATATAAAAACGAATACGAGATGAAATGTAGATTAAATTATGTAAACTAGCAATTCTCAAATTATGGGAGTGGGATAGTAGAGGACGAATCTTCCCATTTTTTCAATGTAATATACAATAAATTAATAATTAACCCATATATTGGTATAAAACGGTAAACATAAATGATATAATTTTAATGATCAAATACAGTATGTTAAAAAAATTAGCCACATCCTTTCCATGGTGATATCATTTGGCCACCACTGAACACTGAACACTCCTAGATTCTTTAAAACAAAAAAATACCTAAATATTTTCCTTTTCCTTAGGATTTTATTATAACGAATCGTAATAATATTTTTCTATCATACTACTTTTCGAATGACAACAGTTTTAATTTCATATTTAAAATCAGAATATTTTTCCAAGTATTTCTTTACACACAAATTGATTTTAGGAAGATAAGTTTATGAGTTGCAACTTATAAGTTATAAGTATTTATAATAGGTACTTATAATATTTTAAATGCGTAATAAAAGCTACCTACTAATATAAGCTATTATAATATATATTTTAAATGCGTATAACTCATAAGCTACTCGTCCAAATTTCGATTTTTCTATATCGAAAATCAATATACTTAGAAAAATATTTTAGTTTTGGCATATGAATTATATTTATTAATATAAAAAAAACTAACCGTGTGGCTTTTAAAAAAGTTAAATCATAATAAATGTTTTAAAAAAAATTCATATTGAGCGAAGCATAGCCTGAAAACATGTGTAATTTTTGTTTGCTGAAATGACTACACGTTGTGAACTTGCAAATGTATACTACCCTAATAAAATATAAAATATTTCTGTTTTATTAACTCGTAATACTAATCGATCGCTTAAAAAATTAAACGTTTCTAAAAAAAAAAACAACAATATATCTATAAAAATTATCAATTATTTCTATACCGATAATCGCATAATGCTCAACGCCGGAATATTGACTAAGTAAATTATTTAAATTATTAATTAAACTTGAATCGGTATAAATTACTTACGTCAACTGCGTGATTTTACTAATTGATTTGTAATCAATCAGATTAATTAGCCAATTGCTTCATTCTGTTCAATGAACTACCGGCCTTAAACCATTCAATTTGTTGTTCGTTGAATGTATGATTTAGTAATATTTCGTCACTACTTCCATCAGTGTGACATAATATGCATTTTAAAGGCTGAAATAATAAATCGTATTAATTGGATATTCCCAACTTATAACGTTTATAAAATTTATAAACTAAGGTGAAGTAGGCAAAAATTATAAACTAGCAATTATTATTTTACCTTGCCAGGAGCGAACTGGTCAAGTTCGACTATAGAAACTCTATCACTTGGTTGAACTTTATCATAATCCTTAGCGTCAGCAAAGGTCAAGGCTAATAATCCTTGCTTTTTCAAATTTGTTTCATGTATCCTGGCAAAAGATTTGACAATAAATGCACGTCCTCCCAAATGTCGTGGTTCTAAAGCGGCATGATCTCTGCTACTTCCCTCGCCATAGTTTTCATCACCAAACACAACCCACGGTAAACAATTGGCCTTGTACGCTCTAGCCGTGTTCGGTACTGCATCCCATTCTCCTGTTTCCTGGTTTTTTACCTTATTCATTTCATTATTTTCTGAATTAGTTGCACTGGAATAATGAAAATAACAATTTTATTTTATTTTTTAATGATAACAACTATAACAACTTACGTTAAAAACATGTTATTTGAAATATTATCCAAATGCCCACGATATTTCAACCATGGACCAGCAGCAGAAATGTGATCAGTTGTACATTTTCCTTTTACCTATTGAAAAGTTATAAAAAATAAGTAAACTTAATTAAAAATAATAAAATCATAACATGCATGTTATTTAAGTGAAACATACTTTAATAAGTATAACAAGGCCTTCAAAATCATTGCCGTCCCAAGCTTCGAAAGGTTCCAATAGTTGAAGACGATTGGATTTTGGATTTATATCCACACTTACAGATGATCCATCAGCAGGCGGAGCTTGGTATGTATCTTGACCAGCATCAAATCCCTTTTGAGGAAGTTCGTCGCCAAATGGATTGCTCAATTTAAATTCTTTACCTTTAAAAATAGTTGATATTATGTCTATAAATATATGAATATAACACGAGTTAATGGAAACTCTTTTCACGAACGAAACACCTTGGACAATTGCAACGATACAATTATAAATTATAGAAACAGTATAGCTGCTATCGTGACAATAGCCAATATGTACAATTTAACTAACCATCAGCACCCTTGATTGTTTCGGTTGTTGGATCAAAGTCTAAACGAGCTTCAATGGCTAAGGCAGTTACCATCTCTGGAGACGTGACAAAAGCATGAGTCGCTGGATTAGCATCGTTTCGCCCAGTAAAGTTTCTATTGTACGAGCTCACAATGGTATTCTTTTCACCCTTTTTTACATCTTTACGGTCCCATTGACCAATACATGGACCACATGCATTAGCTAATACAGTACCACCAAAATCTCTCAGTGTTTGCGCCTGAACAATATTATAATTAAAATATCTACCAATAAGTCTAATTTAATATTTTATTATTTTATACTATTCCATCTCTTTCAATTGTTGCTCTGATTTGTTCAGATCCAGGAGTGACGTTAAATGGAATTTTTGATTTACGTCCATGAGCTATTGCTTCTTTTGCAATTGTAGCACACCTCGCCATATCTTCATAACTTGAGTTTGTACAACTTCCAATCAGACCTGAAATTTAATACAATAACTTAATATAATAAAAAAACTATATTATTTTAGTATTTTTATATGATGATAAAATGGTTTTAGATCCACGGTAATATCCATTATATTTTTATGGGTAATAAAATATAACTAGCTAAGAAAGCTGGAGTGTTCATCCATGAGTTTAAAACTGTTTTAATGCCATCATCATATAAATGTAAGAATTTATATTATATGAGGTGTTCGTTCATTTCCTACTCGAAGAATAGGTCATTTGCAAAAAAAAATTAATTTAAATATCAAAGGTTGGAAAATGTAATACAAGATTCCTCATAAGTGACTCACCAACTTTAATTTCAACCGGCCAATCGTTTTTTTTGGCATTTTCTCCAAGTTTTGAAATGGGATGAGCGAGATCAGGCGTGAAGGGTCCATTGACATGAGGTTCCAACGATGTTAAATCAAGTTCAATTAACTATATTGATCACAATATAATAAAATATTAACATAACATTGTAATAGCACAAAGAAAAAGGATTACCTGGTCATAATTACTGCCTTTGTCAGGAGTTAACAATGATTTACTGTGCTTCGCAGCTTCTTCGGAAATATAACCACGTGAGGTAGCTTTTAAATAATCTGCCATTCGGTGATTGAATGGGAACAAACTAGTGGTGGCTCCAATTTCTGCACCCATATTACAGATGGTGCCCATGCCTTTGTAAATATGATTTCCTATATGTCCTTCCTCGCAACACGACTACACAGTATGTGTGATTTTTTTTTTGTACTCAACCGTTTCGAGAGCCAGTGTTGTGCCTTGACGGGGGATTTCGTTTGGTTTATCTGTTTTTAGGGTCATTCGCAATAGTACAGCGTGATCGCCTTGGAGTCAGTTTGACCCAAGTTCGAACCACACGTTTGTCTCCAACGTCAAACTGTACAAATCGCGTGGTTTCAAGTGCCCGTGGTCCGTCGATTTCATCGTCACGGGAATAATAGCTTGTTGCAAACTCGCGCAAACCATTGATGACGTATATTCACGATTCCTACAGCAACATAATATTTGCATTTCACCGTAATCTGTCGTCCAAGTTACCGTCGCTTTACCAGCTTGGAGGACCCAGTTCAGCTGCACTCTCATGCAACCAGTCATCATCATGTCACACTTGCCTTTGATAGTATAGTCAGTGGTAACGGAGGTCCTGTATGGATATATTATATATTTGTAAGTTCCCTCTTATCGGGGCATTTGTGAGCCACATGCAATATTATTATATATTTTGTATTTTTGGACGTTCCTCAGTTTATTATTATGAATTATTATTATTGATTGTATATGTCATTCTATTTATTTTTTGTTCATTATAAGTGCGTGCGCATAGCGCTATAAATTGTTTTATAATACTTAGACCTGAGTAATCTCTAACCGTCCTTGACATCCCTCAAGTCGTTGTCGCTAACCATGAATTCTAAATTAGGAGCTGCTTCGGAGTAAACAAAAATTGTACGCCAATCAGCGTTTTGCACACAACAATTCGGCAAAAATACCATTATTGTGGAACAACCCCAAACGTAATTTCATCAGCATAACGAATTGGATGCATTATGCACGACTGCTTTGGACCGCATGCCGTCTGATAATCACCAAAATTGTCATCAAACCTGATAAGAAGCCTGCAGAACAACACAGGCGATGTTTTAATGCGCCAACAATATTGACGAAGTTGCTATTGTTGTCTTGGGTGGAAATTTAGGAAATCGATATATTATATTTCGGCGAATCAGTCAACTGGAACTTGTGTCCGAAATTCATCGATAATATACAATATCCTATATTATTTTGGCAAGGTGAAGATGGATATCATTTTTTATGAAAATGATAAATCCAGTTACAGGTTCTGAAACTAAAAAAATGTTAATTCAATAAATTATTATTCATACAAACTGATGGTTCGGAAATATGAAAAAAATCGTCAATCATATCTTAAAATGTCGACGTCTTTTCCACCAATGTGTTGTGGATGTGTACGTGAAAGTTGAAACTGAGAGATTGAGTGTCGGAATACCAACAAAACTATTTATATACGTGCAAGGAAAAAGAACTAAGAATGTTGTACATCATAAAGCAGTAGAATAATAAACACTTTTTTTCTAATATTTTTTTATTAATTATAAAAATTCGAATTTAATATTCTTAATTAAGAACGTTTGTCGGGTCAGCTAGAAGCTATATTTAAAAAACCCCTTTTACCCCCTTAGAGGTCAAATTTTGAAAATCCTTTCCTAGCGCGGCCCTACATAGCTTAAGAAAATTCTGTACAAATTTTCAAGTACCTAGACCCACCGATTTCGTCTAGCCGTTAATGATTGAATTGGGACGATCTCCTATATTATGTATTTATGTATATATATATCTTAGAATTTATTAGTTCAATTGAAACATAATTCGTTAAGTACCTATATCTGTATTAAAACAAATAAATAATTGATTTTTTTTGTTTACTTAGCTTTCACCTAGTGTAGTTTTTGCTTTCTCAAAATGAAATTCATAAACTAACACAAATTGTTGTGTCTTAAAGTAAAAAACATTTTATTTTACTTAATGCTATAAAGTGAAAAATATTATTACTTATTAGTAGCTGAATTAAAATAAAAAATAATAATAATAATATTTACAAATGATTCTAGTTATTCGATATACAATACACATATTTTTATTAAAAAATGATTCTATTGTTACAATAATAATTTAAATAAACATGTTAATCACACATCGATAAAGAAAAGTATTATTATTTTTCGATAATGCGATTGGTATAATTGACCTAATTGGTGTTTTCCATACAACTTTTAAATTAATAAATATGCTATGTTAGTTTGTATTTTATAATTTATGCAAGTATTCCTACATCATAATTACAGCGATCTCAGCCGTTGCTATAAGTACGATCGTCAGTAGACAAATTAACAGTCGTAGTGCTGTGTCGAAACAAAGATTGGAAGATCTATTATATGTTTTCTAGCTGATCATTTGCGCTTCTTTGTCCTTTAAAATGCCAACTTTATATGATACTCACTTTTCATAATGTGAGCAGTATATTATAAGATCGGTCATCTATCTGTGGTGGATTGCGAACCTCACTAGGTGTACACTCTACATGAATAATACGTTGATTTTTAATTGTATTAATTACTTTAATTTTGTACATGCCGATGAGCGGCTATAAGTGTACCTCAGCCGACAGCCTCTTTGGTAGGCTATGTACTGAAATTACCTAACCTGATCTGCCCGATTAATCAATATCAATCAAAAAATTAATAAAATATCTAGTTGCACTAAAAAAAATAAGACGATTGAGCGGAAAATTAGTTGTGAATTAAAATAAACATGCAAATTGTATATCTTTACACATAAATGTGTATCATAAAAAAAATATTTGAGCTCAAATAATTGTAGGTGACCTACCCCTCATATCACTGCTGTTATACGGACCTATAAAATGTCCTAGTTTTCTTCAATCAATACCCACCCACTCATAATTAAGGTGTTGCATGAGCAACAATTGGACCCCATGTTACACGCAACTGATACATATTGCATGGCACGGTGGCCCGCGGGTGACTTGTTTGTTTAAAATTTTAAGCAATGAACTAACACTTATCAAAAAGCTCACTCTAAAATATTTCATTAATCTTCGGATTGACTCCACTGTAAAATGAGCACGAAAACAATATAAATTAACTGTTTTATATCATAGATAGAAGATAGGTGGATATGTTTTAAATGATAAACGATAAGCGTGATGCCTCGTTTAAGGGAAATAGGGATTTATTAATTTATTTTTATATACATAGATACATCTTGATAATAGATACATTGTAGAGTTTAATTTCTCTGAACAATTTATATCCACACGTTGATCAAACACATATCGCTAAGGAAACCCACTGGTCGTCGACCTGTAAAATATGTGTATAGATATACAATTTGTATATCATTTGTTAGAATATTTAGGTACAGAATGATATTATTTATAATTCATAACAATTTCAACGGTCTATTAGAAATTTCAAATTTGAAATTACAAACAATTTATTTTAGGTCGTTCAAATCTTTGCTTTTAGGGGGTGATGCAATAGGTATTGTATTCCGTTTTTAACACTTCTAAACGCTCGTCGGCCAACTGTGAGACGAGGCTTACAACGTAGTGAGACTGTGAATTTCGAAAAATGAATGTTCTGCCAACAGAGTATTCTCTAGAAAATTGTAGGTAAACGTTTCGCTTTGTGTGTAACATGACATAAGTCATAAATGGTAGGTTAATAACAGGTTAAAAAAATGTTAAAATACAAAAATGTTAAAAGTTAATAGTATAATTAGAGTCAAGTAAACATATTTTATGATCTAGTGAAATGTATCTAAACATTTAATACTTTAATTTAGTAATATCAAAGCCATTTTCAAAAAGTTCAACGCAGTTGTAACCAAGAAAATCACAGAAAGAATCAAATGGCTGTGGATTCCCACCTGCAAAATAAAATTTTTATTAAATTTGTTGATTATGTGTATTGTGAATATTTTGTGTCATACAACCTTAAATCAGATATTCTTGTATCTTATCGACGTGTGTATTTATACCATTAGTTTACACATTAATTATAATATACGTATTGTACTCACCTATGAGTTTAAATTCTGTTTGAATGTAATATATTCGAAAAAAATTAATGATCTGACCATTATACTTATCACAAATAATTACAAAATTATCACTGAGATGTCAATATTATGCTTTTGAATGATTAAACATTTCCATTTCTGTTAACAACATTTACAATAATATTAAGGAATATTTATTGAAATCAATAAAAAAGAAACACTCAGTGAAGCCACACTGATTCGGAGACAGTCGATTTGTAAACGTGACTTAGATAAATTCAAACCGAATTTGAGTACAAACCGCTTATTCTCGAGATATAAAGGAACAAACTCCACCAATCGAGAAAAACGGTTGTAAAGCGAAAAATTGTGTTAATAATATTTCAAAAAACAGTATAAAAATTTTTAAAAAAGAATAGGCAACGAAAGAGCGTACGACAAACTAACTTTCGCTAAATAATTACATCAGGTCCACCAGTCAGATCCATGATAATCAATTTTATGATAAAAGAATTGTACATACTTGTATCGAGATATTGTATGTATACTCCTCCTATCTCTGTAAAATCAAACATTTATAATGGTTTTTGATATAACTATTCACTACATGTTATACAATTAAGTAACTGTTACCCGAGTGAAAAATCCTAAGTGCATTGCAATATTCATTCGAAGAATACAGGGATTATCTAACTTATGTTGGTGTACGACATACGTATACTACTTTTAGTAGTCAAATATCAATAATAATTTCGTAAAAAATGTATGAACCGTTTTGGTATTTCGATACTTCGATAACAAACAAAACTGAATTGAGTAATTCTAATACATATCGTGTCTCCGAAGTTATACATAATATAATAATGCTACTCCAGTATAACATCATTAGCTTGCATTTAAATTATTTGATGCACATAAATGGGCTACTTTAGCTTTTAAAGAAGTTTCGTGGAAGATACTAAATGTTATAAAATAAATAAGTAATATCAACTCAGTACAAATTAATTTTGTCCGGGGCCCCGAGAGTTCTAGTTGCGGTACCTATCAAATAG